GTTGTCTCCCAAGCCGCCGCCTGATTTTCCGCCGAGTCGTGGACCAGATCCTCCGGATATGGCCCAAGCTCCGTCAGGAACCTCTCGGGGTCCATCAGTCGCCTGGGACGGAACCATCTAAGCGGTTCCGTCTCCCTGCGGCGAGGGGGAGCGGTCCGGAAGTCCATCCTTACGAGAGAATGATCTGACCATGACAAGGACAATTTAGACAGATGATGTAAGCTAAAACAAAAGAAAAGGAAATTAAATGTAGCTTAAAAATTCTTACCAGGAGGAATATGTAATCTGTACAACAGTTTAATTTTTTCATTCATTTCTCCATTGTACATAGTATCTGTAGGAGGAAAGGTATACCAGAGGCTTGACTAAGTTTCTCTTAAAAGCATAACAAACTTGTAATTTTTGTGAAAAATGATAATGAGGAAAAAGTCTGTATTTAAACTTTGATTAAAAATTCAAATAATTTACAACTCTGTGCTGATAGTATTTAAAAACATCCAAGTTTATTGGAGAGGGAATGGACACTTCTTTAAGAATGACCATTCCATTAGACTTTATCTTGGAGGTAGAGAACCTTTAAAGAATTCATATGAAAGAAAATAGTGCAGGCCAAAATAGTAGCACTGACTTTAAAGACAAATTCTAGCAACTTGCTTATAAAGCTATCTTTTGGAAAGGTTGCAGTTGTAGTTAATTCCAGGTGTTCAAACAATTGAGCGAAAGATAGGAACTATCAATTATTTTGCAACTTATAAAACCAGATATGTTTCTTGTACAAAGTAGCATAAAATTCCAGAATGAATGAAAATATTTCCATAAGGGCAATTGAAGCCTATCATTCTGGCTTCACATTAGACTAATAATATTTATTGTCACATAATTTTTTGTGAATCATTGTCCACAGTGTCAGTTTGCATACCTGTAAAACAGATTACTTAGAAATGCAAACTTACAGCTTAATAGTCTTCTCTACAACTCATGCATCTTTTGTGCAACAACCCAGTGGCATTGTGCAACAACCCAGTGGCATTATGTTTAGATACATAACTTTCCTGAAAACGTTCTGCAGTAGAAAATCAGTATAAATTGAATAGTCACCTAAGCAGTTAATAAATGCTTTGAATTCAATCAGATGGTCCATGTTTTCATCTAAAAGCCGGAATGTTCTTTCTGCTAGAACCTGAGTGTGTTCACCACACATCCAAGGTGAAACAAGTTTAAAAAGGTTAGTAAATTGCTGAGAATCAATTCTATATTGCTCAGCATAGGGTCTACTTGGATCATGACGCTGAATTACAACTTCACTATTCCACTCCCAGTAACAGCTTATTAAATGCTCTTTCTGAAAAAAAAAAGGAATATTAGAATGAAAATCGTATCCAGGAAGATTTTAATAGTGTCAAACTGCATATTTATTTGCTTATATGAATATTTACATAATAATGTCAATATTACACATTGGTCTTAAGTTTAGTACATACAAGCTTATCTGCTCAAGATATCTGGTAGACAGGAAAAAAAATACATGTCTTTATTTTGATTTCAATAATCTTTTTTAATATTAAATGTCCGGGAACTCAGGTATGTTTAGTTCTGATGACTAGCAGGTTAACATAATAACAACAGGACACTATTATACTGTTAGAGCTTGGAAAAACAAGTTATCTTTGCAGTGTGTGCTACAGAAAAATGAAATAAAAGTGTAATCAGGTTGGTATTATTTGGTGAAGACATCCTTCTTTTGCTGTTCTTTGCTCTTCTTAGCCATTTACTTATTTCAGAAATAGATTCCTTTCCTGTGCATAATTTGCCAAGAAGAAACAATTTATTTGTATTGTAACAATTCCTTTCATTCTAGAAGAACAGACCAATTTATTCCATTAACTTTAACCACTTAAAAAAGCTTGTTTGAAATGGAGAAGATCTGATCAAAATCTAATTCAAGAATTCTCTTATATTTTTGGAAAAGCTAAAATCTAAAGTACGTAGATACTATTAAAATATTGCAAAAAATACACTTTTGTTGATTTTTGAATATAAACTATATACAATATCTATCTGACTATCCGTCTAATCTAATCTAATGCAAAACATTTCTGAAAAAGGTGCTTACCTTAAATAAGTCATATAGTTCTTCCAAATCTTCTGGAACAATAGAAACATCTGGAATTACCACCCTGAGCTAAAGAGAAAACAGAAATGAATTTAGCAGAACTATTAAGGCATACAAAAAAAAATTGTTGAGCTAAATGCCCCCAAACCTGCCCTCCACATCTGAAGTATTTTTGCCCTACTTTTCATCATTTGACTTTGAATGAAACTTACAGCATGTGAAAGGAAAAAGAATGGAGCATAAAGAAAAAAGAACACATTTGCATTCCATTCAGTCATTCAGTAACATCCGAAGAGCCATAAGTTGCACACCTGTGCTTCAGTTGCTTTGTATTTCAAGATGTATTTTTCCATTTCTTTATAAATCATTTTTAAGCATCTTTTAAAACTTCCTTAAAGTTTAAAACTAAGATTTTGAAAACTCTTACCACATTCTGTTTAGTGGTTTCTTCATGACTCTGGAGCACACGGATCCTGTGTTTGTAGCGCATGTGCTCAATCTGTTCCACAGAATGGTCTCCAAATTTCTACAACAAGGAAACGATGTTTTTCATTTTCATTTGAAATGTTGTATAC